GTTTCTTTTGAGGGGATAATTGAACTGAAAATCTGGGCCTGCCATTGAAATGTAGCTTTCTTTACTTGATCTGGTCCTCTGCAATTGAGCTCTCGTTAGCTTCTGGCCTCCCTCCAATATTAATTCTGCAAAACAAAATTTCATAATTGTGTAGTTTTGACATTATATAAAATTTGGGGAGATTCTGCAGTTCTATTACGGAACCATTCCGTCGAGATTTGTAACCGCGGTTGTTACAAATCTTGACGGAATGGTTCCGTAGCATTTCCCTAAAATTTGTTACAAAAATTAGTCAAAAAAAGGAAATGAAAGAGGACTTTTTTTTATCCCATTTTTTCTATGTTTTCCCCCTGTTTTTTAACATATGTAGTCATATCTCGCCGGAAAATCAATCCAACTTTAAAATTTTCCTAATATATAACCTTTCTTGTTTTTGTCAATTACTCATATTTGATACCAAATTTGTTACAAAACATTGGGTAAAAAATAATAATAAAACATTTAATCCATTGCAGCAAGAAAACTGAAAACGACAACCTTTTTTGGCTGATGATTTACTAATATGTCCAAAAATAATTTCCAGGTTTTACGCAGCTGAAGTTCTTGTAGCTCTAGAGTACCTTCACATGTTGGGAATAATCTACAGAGACTTAAAGCCCGAAAACGTGCTCGTCCGATCCGACGGACACATCATGCTCACCGATTTCGACCTCTCCCTCTGCTCCGACTCTACCGCCTCCCTCGAGTCCCCCGACTCCTCTTCCTCCCCGGGCCCACCCTCGGCCCGTTTCGCCTGCCTCCCGTCTCGTCTATTTCGTTCCCGTAAAGTCCAGACAACAACGGCCCTTGCCCCGGGCCTCCGGTTTGTGGCCGAGCCAGTGTCTGCCCGGTCGTGCTCGTTTGTCGGGACCCACGAGTACGTGGCCCCCGAGGTCGCTTCTGGCGGGCCCCACGGCAGCTCGGTCGACTGGTGGGCCTTCGGTGTGTTCGTCTACGAGATGATCTACGGTCGGACCCCGTTCGTCGGGCCCAACAATGGAGCCACCCTACGGAACATCGTTCGGGCACCGCTCGGATTTCCCGGGCCGCCGCGCGGTGGGGAAGAGCGGGCCGCACGGGACCTTATCGCAGGCCTACTAGAGAAGGACCCGTCCCGGAGGCTCGGGTCAAGGCACGGGGCGGCCGACGTGAAGACCCACCCGTTCTTCAAGGGGTTGAACTTCGCGCTCATCCGGTCGGTGGAGCCACCGGGTTTGTTCAGGATCAGGCGGCAAAAGACGGCGCCGACACGACCGCAGGCGGCAGCATTCGGGGTGTTTTAATTTTGGCAAAAAAAAAAAGTGTATTTTTAGTCTCATTGGTTTAACGCCATAGCAATTTTAGTCATTAAGTTCCAACTTTTTTCGCCTTTTGATTCTACATTTTAATATTTTGTTGCAATTTCAATTCTAAAAAATTGCAACAAAATTTAAATTAAAGGACTAAAATTGGGAATTTTCTGCAATTTCAGTATTCGGAAAACTAAGATTATTGAGACTAAAATTATTGAGACTAAAATACTAGAATGTAAACTAAGATTATTGAGACTAAAATACTAAATTATTCGGAAAACTAAGATTATTGAGACTAAGATTATTGAGACTAAAATTATTAAATACTAGAATTTTGAGACTAAAATTATTGAGAGAACCCAATAGGATAAAAAAAATGTAAGTGATCTTTGATGTTTTTAGGTTGTAAAGTTAGTTATGGACTTATGGCAATAGCATGTTTGTTGTAGCTAGGTGGGAGCAAATGAAAAGAAACGAAATAAAGGAGATTTGTATAGTAGACACGTGGCGTCGAAAATGTGGTGCCACGTTATTGGTGTCTTGTCAACAAATATTTGTTTTCATTTTCATAGTATGATGATGATTGAATTAGTTGAGTTACTTATTTGAGTATGATTATTTATTTATTTATTTATTTATTTATTTATTTATTATCTGTTGTGTTGATGAGTATTGATTAATATATTTTCTAAAAATTATACATATATTTTTTAAATATTTATAATAAATCTTTTATTTGAAACAGAGGAAATTGAAAAATTTTGCGAAAAAATTGTGCTAACAAAAATAGATGAGTGGTGGTAGCTAAGATGCGCCGTCGGGGGACAATGGGAATCGGCCTCATGTGGAAGGTTTTTGTTTTGTTCATGTTTCTAGACAACCTTAGATAATATCCCTCGCCAATGTCAAACTCTCACTATTCCTTATCTTTTCTTACTTTATTTTTTTTACAATCAGCCACGGTATTCGAAGCTTTGTCTTGACTAATCGGTTGGTCGACCCGATTCGCACAGCTGGTAATAGTGGGTGAGTCTCCCAACAAGGTTTTATGCATTCACAAGGACTTGAATCCAAAACTTTACTTAAGCAACATCAACATGCTTAACATGCTTACCACTTGAGTCAATCCCTGTTGGTTTTTCTTACTTTAATTTTGTTCATATTATTGTATGAGCCTATCAAGTGTATTAACCGTTATTCCGATCCCATTAATCATTATATTTTCAATAATAATAATAATAATAATAATAATAATAATAATAATAATAATAATAATAATAATAATAATAATGTATACTTATGGTATAAAATAATGTTATTTTTTATGTTTAACTTTTTAGCACGATATTTTAATTTTAAACTACACTTCTGTTGAAAAATCGACTCTTTAATTGTTATGATTCCAATTTTTTTTTTTAACTTTTTTTTTTTTTTTTTT